TCTTGGGGATATGCCCAAGAGAAGTAAAAACATAAGTCCACATAATAGCTGTATACAAATATTCATAGCAGCATTATGCATAATAGATGAATGGTGGAAACAAACCAAATTTCCATCAAATGTTGAATGGATATATAAAATGTGATAAATTCATACAATGGAATATTATTTGGCCATAAAAATGAACTGCTGGTACATAGTACAAGATGAATGAATCTTGAGAGCAATATACCAAATGAAAGATGTCAGTCATGAAAATCTGCATATTATATGACTCCATTTATATAAAGTGCTCATAACAAGCAAGTTTAAACAGACAAAAAGTAGATAGTGATTGTCTAGGTCTGGTTGAGATGGAGAGATGGGGGTGTGAGATATGGGGACTTAGAGTGAAAAGGCATAAGGTTTTTCTGGGGCTGGGTGATGGCAACATTCTAAAACTGATTGTGTTGATGGTGGTACAATTCTGTGAATACAGCCATGCATCACTTGCTTAACAATGGGGCTATGTTCTGAGGAATGTGTCATTATGTGATTTGGTCAGTCAGCAAACATTATAAAGTGTACTTACACAAACCTAGATGGTATTGCTTACTACCCACTTAAGTTATATAGTATACCCCATTGCTCCTATAGCTCCTACAAACCTATACTGCATGATGCTGTACTGAATACTGTAGGCAACTGTAATACAATGGCATTTGTGTATCTAAACACAGAAATGGGACAGTAAAAATACAGTGTTATAATCTTATGGAACCACTATCATATACATGGTCTGTCATTTCCTGAAATGTCAATATATGGCACATGACTGGGCACTAAAAAACCACTGAATTGTTTATATAAGAGAGAGAACTATTGCAAGATTTTTGCCAGAGATGATAAGTTTAGGGGTTGGGGTAGTTTTGATTGTTTTTCAAGCGGTAGAAAGCATAGGTTCGGGTGACTGACTAGTTGGGGATCATTTCTTTAATAGATGAGTTTCCAATTTTGGCATTTACCAAGACAATAAACTTAAGAAATGAAGCAGAATTAGGGGAACAAGAAGCAGTTTCATTTTGTACATATGGAGTTTGACATTCTAGTGAGAACTGAGAAGAAAAATATAAAGAAGAGAGTTGGACATACAGGTCTTTAACTCAAGAGTACTCAGGCTAGAAAGATAAGTTTGGAATTCATCATGTAATCAGGTGGTGATTGAGGTCATGTGAGGATATGAGACTGCCAGGAAGATGGGGTTCAATGGCAGCACATGATGTTTGTTATAGAAAACACAGAATACATGAAAGTAAAAGAAATTCTTCCAATTGGCAACATTTGCTACATCTTTTGATACTCATTTAATATTTTTCTTCTATTTTTTTCCCTTCAGTTTTCCCCATTTTTAAGTAGTTATGTATTTTTTGTCCTGACATTCTTCTACTTAATATTATAAAATATATATTTGTCTATGTTGTTACAAATTCTTTGTCCCAGAATCTCCTCACAGTCATTTTCCTCATGGGGTCCTACTTCTTGACTCTCATCTGGGATTCTACATGGCAGCTTCCGCCTCTCTTGCCTTCTCTTTGTTCCTGATCACTCTCCCATCTGCCCTTCTCTAGTATAGATCACAAAGGCCACTTCATTCATGAAAGTCACATGATTTCTGGCTGAAAGTTGATCATTAACTTCAAAATGGAATTTCAGATTTCTATTTCATTGTCCCTCCTTACCCACACTGGAAAGGTCACTTTGAGGAAACTTCCTGAAACCATCTCAGAAAGACTTTATCAGTAAATTCTCCTTTTTGCCATCTTTTTTTGCATTCTCTTTAAGCATCTTTTAGCAGACTCAGCTCCCCATTTAGTGCTTCCAAGAGGGTAGAATGCACTCAGGTATGCCATTGCCATACAACTGGAATTTGCACAGTCAAAACACCAAAAATGCCATCTAAGCTCTAAGCATACAGGTTAGGTTAAACAAAAATGCAGGCATTTTATCAAAACAGTCCCTGAGCCCATAGAATACAAATGAAATGTGGAGAGTAAGATAACAAACCTGAAAAATTACATCAGATATCTGTTGTAGGCAATGATTTATTTAATATATATTAAATGTGGCTACCTTGAATCAACATTAAATGATGAAACAAAGGCCCATAAAGGAAATAAACATAATTACAGATCATTATTTCTAGTTTGGTATTTAGGTTTCACAAACAAGGCCTCAGTGATGAGAGGATATATGCAATGATTTTAGGAGATACTCAAGATATAGTTGATTCTCAATAAAAATTGTATTTCTTTCCTTAATATTGAAATTCAGCTTGTATTTATTGATGGCTGGCTCACTGTGCCAGGAATCATGCTCAGTGTTTTCTCATACTTTCTCATTGTCCCATCTACCTTTTCAACAATCTTGAGAAGTAGGTATTTCATTGAACATTGTGTCTCTGAGAGGTTACATGATTCACTCAAGATCACACAGCTACAGTGGTCCATCTGAAGCTATATTTCCTGTCCTCCGAATCCAAATCCAATGGGCCTTCCCATCCACCGCATATGTTCATTCTTCAATTCTCTTCACCATTTATTTATTGTTAGTCAAAACGCCTGTGATCTTCATCCTATTGCATAATCTCCTTTTCTGTTCTTCTCTCAGCAAAATCCTCACCACACCAGCAGAACTTCTTCATCTTAATCCTCTCTCTGACTTGGTTCTCTGGACTACCTCCAACATTTTTTACCCCTCCTTTTTCACCTCTTCTCAACCTTGCCTACTACTGCAAACATTATCTTATAAAGTAAGTTTAAAGATTAAAGATTAAACTTCTTAATGACTTAGGATCCCAGATCAAACCACAAAGTTCACTCAGCCTTATACTGACAAGTCAGAGTTAATGGTTCTTGGTGCCAAAATAAATGACAAAGTCTGCTGGTTTGAGCCTGCTCTTGGTGCTACATGTGCCAGGTACGTGTGTGTGTGTTGTGTGTGTGTGTGTGTGTGTGTGTGTGTAAATTGTCTCTTTTCCTCATGACCACTGTTTTCCAGATAAGAAAAACCAGGGCTCGGAGTTCAAAGTACGTTCTCCTGATCACAGAATTAGCAGGTAACAGAGTTAGAAATTCAAACCCAGTACCAACAGACTGTATGTGTTGAGCTCTTTGCACTATAACAGAAATTCGTAAATATCTGTTCACACACAAAGGGCTAGATCATCACAAAGTTCTTGCCAGTTCATGGCTAAATAAAAACAGCACAATATTATAAACCAGGGAGCTATAGTCTGTGTCAGCATAAAAACAGATTATTGTCAAGAACCATTCTGAGTTTATGTCCTTTCTGCCTTTTTGGTGTTAACGTTTCTTTCTCCTTGTGAAATGATAATGAAAACAGGTGGTAGTAGTTCTTTTGATGGTTAAATGGTAATGTTCTTAGTAAAATGAAAAGTAGGTAACCTTGTGTTAGTTATGCAGGCCCCTGTCTGCATGTCTATGCATAAAGTCCACATGACATATTAATGGTTACAGTTAATATGGATAAAATGCTGGGAGAGTTAGCTTCCCCCCCAGGCCCAAACATTCTGTAAAGCAGCTCAGTCCTGCACTTAGTTTTAGCCTGAATAATCTTTTTCAATGTTTGCCTCTGGCTCAGTATCACTAGAGAGTTGTCCCTGGCCTATGTAGTCACAGCCACATGAAGCACATTTCAGGAGATGGTGGGTGTGACCTGCTGCCACGGGAAATTTCTCAGCAGCCCAGGTACTGGGAGAAATTATCTGAGCTTTTGGTGGGAAAGGAGTGGGGTATCCACCTGGGAATGTCCCCATTTGGAGCTCTGTGCTAATGAAGAAGGGACTTTCTCACACTTTAAATGAAGTCTTAGTCTCATACATATCACGCTGACTCACACAGTCACAGTCTTTTTTTACAATGGGTAATTTAGATCACAAAGAGATGTATTAATCAATCTTCAGAGTTATCTTTGAATGCTGGCTGCTGGCCCAGAAAAAGAAAGCAGGTCTACTATTCAGTCAGTCATATAAGCTTTCCAAGAAACAAAAACAATGGAATTCAAGTAAATTGGTTTAAAAGGCAGAAGTTCAATTATTACATATTCCTTGGATCTGATTTACTTATTGTTCACACATTTATTCATTCAATGTGCATTATTTGTTCAGCCCTTTCTTCATTGATACATAGCACTAAGTTCATGAATAAAAGCCCCTATGAAAGGCTTTCATTGTTTGATGAACCAAAGAATGGATACACAGAGAGAGAAATAATTACAAGAATAAACAAGGCAATAAAAATATATAGAGTTGCTTTCAAAAGGCAAGTGTTTTTTTAAGTTAACAGAATGTTTTGCTATAATATATAGAATGAATAATTCTAAACAATATATGTAGAAATTTTTTGGAGACTGCTTAAAACAAGTGACCTCCAAGTTTGTGGTACCAGAATCTCAGGAACATGGGAGCATAGTGATAAAGGTCTATAATTGCTTTTAGGTATTTTAAGAGTCCAATTTAAACAATAAAAAGTGCCAAACCCAATGGCTTATTCCTGTAATCACAGCACTTTGGGAGGCTAAGATGGAAAGACTGCTTGAGACCAGGAGTTTGAGACCAGCCTGGGCAACATGGCAAGACCCTGTCTCTACAAAAACTAAAAATTAGCCAGGGTGTGGTGGTATATGCCTGTAGTCCCACGTACTCAATAAGCTGAGGCAGGAGGATAGTGTGAGCCTGGGAGGTCAAGGCAGTGGTGAGCCATGATGGCACCACTGCACTCCAGCCTGAGCAACAGAATGGGATCTCATCTCAAACAAAAACAAAAACCCAATAAGGAAAAAATAAACAACAACATAAGTGCATGTGCATGTGTAAGTGCGAGAGAGAGAGAGAGAGAAACACCTAAATAAGTTGCAAGTGTGCATATGCCTGACCATATAGTGTCATCTACAACAGTAAAAACCTCTTATTAATATTATTTATGAAATAATACTTTTTCTAGCTATGATGAAAGGAAAAGAAAAATGGAAAAAGACTATCCAAAGAATACTGAAGAAGAATTTTCAGGAGTAAATGGCCAAATCGATGCTGCTGTAGAATTAAATGGTGAGTGTTCCACTGAAAACTTTCTTCATGAAAATTATCATAAGAAATCTGAGCTCTGCTTTAACACAACAGAAAATGGATTTCCAAGTGGGAGTCATTGGTTCTTACATTTGGTCCTAAGTCCTTTCATAAGTTTAACCAACCAGATTATCCACTAGAAAGAGTAACTATAAAAGGTCTGGTATTGTAGTTCTCTCTTTCCTAATAGAAAGTTTTTAAACTATAGCTTCAATCAATTAGACAGCTAGATCATACAGTCTACCTGGGTCAAGATTAACTTTTCTATTTTTAAAATACGCATAGTCTTGGCCAGGCACAGTGGCTCATACCTGTAATCTCAGCACTTTGGGAGGCCGAGATGGTAGGATCGCTTCAGTTCAGCAGTTTAAGACCAGCCTGGGCAATATGGTGAAACCCTGTCTCTACAAAAAACATTAGCTGGGCATGGTGGCACATACCTGTAGTCCCAGCTACTCAGAATGCTGGGAGTGGGGATCACTTGAGCCCAGGAGGTCAAGGCTGCAGTGAGCTGTGATTGCGCCACTGCACTCTAGCCTGGACAACAGTGATGATACCCTCTCTCAAAAAAAAAAAAAGTCACTCAACCTTCCATCACCCAACTCCTACAATTTAACACATAGCTAGGAAAGTTGAATAGAATTTTGTTGAATAAATTTAATTGAATCTTCTGAATCAATCAGTTAGCATAATCTTCTTGAAAAAATCGCACAGGGCTGGACAACGTTCAGAAGTGCAAAGACCATTCCAGATGTGGCCTCTGCTCTCATGAAATGGTTCATCCAACACAGATGAAATGACTGGAAAACAGACAATCTATAATTTCGTATTGAGTCATGTGGTGGACTTCACAATAATTGCAACAGCTGATCTGAGAAATAAAATATCAGAATCAGCAGCAGTCATTGGAAACGTTATAGTGAGACTTTAGATGGGTTTTAAAGATTGGCCAGAGGCTTCACCAGAGAAAGAAAAGTCGGGGGGCTTCCTGGAGGAGAACAGCCTTAGCAGAAGCACAGTGCATGACTCAGCATGGCACATTGGATGACCCCAAGTAGAAGGCCTTACCCTGGCTGGAATAAGGGGAAAGCTCAGAAATGACTGAGAAGTTGAGAAATTGGGTTCTAGGGTAGGGTGGAGCCATGCAGAAGACAAGTTAACTGCTGCCTGACAAATTCGCAATTCCCCTTTGATGACACCTTAAGAAAGTGACAATTACAAATTCCATTTATAATTTTGCTGGTCATCTTCAGTAACCACATTTTCAACTTTGTCTCTTTTAGGCTACATTTACTTCTTTTCAGGACCAAAAACATACAAGTATGATACAGAGAAGGAAGATGTGGTTAGTGTGGTGAAATCTAGCTCCTGGATTGGTTGCTAAATAGAAAAGCCTGGTCTTCCCAACAATGAGGATGATGGCAAGCAGCTTCTAACTGTATCTTAAGGACTAAAGCAGAATGTAGGATAGGGATTCTTCCCATGGCCTTCAAGTCAAATTAGAATTCATTGAAAATAATGTTTCCAAATTTTTTCATAGTTGTATATTCGGAATTTTCATCCACATTAGAAAGTGTCTATATGGGCAATTTTATACAAAATCCAAAACAACACAATGCACTCTCCAGTTAGACGCCATTACTTTTTTCTTACCTAATATACTGAAGCAGATCAGTTTGATTTTTATTTCCAGGAGGAAGCCTAGTGGTAAATTCCATGACATATACTATAATTCTTTTTATAGGAAATGTTGTTACTATACAAATTATAATTATTTTGCAAGCAATGGCTTTTGTGGCCATGATTTGGCCATCATTTGTTATAATGAATACAAATTTCCCAATTTTTACTTAAAAGACATCACAACAAAATACTGTATAAGATTTGTTTCTAGTTTGTTTAATTTGTGTCTACTCACTGGTCTCTGATGTAGGCTTAGGTGGATAAACCTATTCAAACAAATTTTCATAGGAGGCAAGAGATGGGTACTTTGCAACAGGAAAATTTTTAACAAAAGCTAATAAAATGTTTGAATAGAACAGTTCCTCATTTCTTTTTTCTGTTAATATTTACTAGCTTCTATAATACTTTATTTAGCCACCCACAAATTCTGTGTACCCATAGAAAAATTAAACCATAAGATAGCATCATAAGTACACAGACCCAGAAAAAATAACAGTAACTTATTCGACTTCCTTCTTCCTGAAAATAGACTCAGTGAAACTATCTTTGACCCAGCTAAGTGAGTGTCTTTTGAATAGTCTTCCATTCAGGGGAGTTCACCTTTTTGTTTTAGTTATTCTTACTTCAAGCTTAACCTTTTTTCCCCTACCTAGACATCAGTATAGGTAAAACTATGGCTGTCTGTCATTCTTATAATTTTGCCCTAATCTTACTCTCTAGAATGTAAGGATTCTAAAATATTTTAATGGTTCTAAAATTGAATGATAAAATACTTGGAATACTTTATAGACCTCCTGGTACATCTACAGTGTTTAACAGATGCTACTATTGTTACCACCATTTATGACATTTGGTTCATACACTCACTTAAAAGACCTGATATTAAGAAGGGATGGAGTAGTTACTCAAGGTTATTCCATAATTTTGATTTGATTTCTGTTACTGAAAGTGGCCATTTATAGCCAACCAGATGTTGCATATTTGTTGAAGACAAAGTCTGTCATCCTTGCCTTCTAATGTCAAGGTGCTTCTATAGAGGTGAAAAGTCACTTTTGCAACTGCTAAGACGGACTTCTTACTATAAATAAGCAAGGAGGAAAACAGGCTGGCAATTTCTTTAAATGTTTAACATAGATTTATCTTATGACACAGCAATTTCACTCCTAAATATATACCTATGAGAAATTAAAATGTCTACACAAAAAACTTGCACATATTCATAACATCGTTATTTATAATAGCCAAAGCATGAAAAAATGTCCATTAAGTAATAAATGAATACATAAAATGTGGTAAATTCAGACAATTGAATGTTATTTGACAATAAACAGAAATGAAGTCCTAACACATGCTATAACATGGATAAAGCTAGAAAACATCATGCTAAATGAAAGAAGCCTGACACAAAAGGTCACATATTGTATGATTCTATTTATATGAAATATTTATACAGAAAGCAGACCAGTGCTTGTCAGAAGTTGGAGGAAGGGGTTAAAAAGAGTGACTACTAATGGGTATGGGGTTCTTTTTTTGGGATAATGAAAATGTTCTAAAACTGACAATGGTGATAGTTTTACAACTCTGTGAATATACTGAAAGCCATTAAATTGTACACTTTAAATGAGTGAATTTTATGTTATGTTAACTATATCTCGATAAAGCTGTCACATTAAGAAAATAAACAAGGAGATCAAAGTGGTGTGATGATTCATGGAGGTCATGCATTCTGGCAGCTGTGTCAGGGACCACATGACAATGGAACACCAGCCTGAAGACATCTAGTGCTGCACACAACCAGCCAGATGTTCTCCTCATTTCTGGCACTAACCCAGAACTGTGCATAAAGAAGACACTTTACTAGTCAATGAATTCACTGAAAGCAATAAAGCATATGCTCTCAGGTCTGGCTGATGGATTCAAACTCCACATCTTCTATTTTCAACTGTGTGATATTGACCAAATTCCCTCATCCTCATCCTTGTCTCAGTGTCTTCTTTTATAAAAATGGAATAATGGCAGTTTTTACCTCCTAAGGATATTCAGAGGCTTACAGGTATGAGTTAAAATATGCAAAGTAGTCCCTGGCACTCTACAGAGGCTCCATAATTATTGTTGTTGAAGCCATTAGAGTTCATTTTGTTTTGTGATATTTTGAAGCATTTGTATATATCCCTTGAGATAACTAAAGATCTGATGAGCTATAATATCACAAGAATTGATCATCAATGATCTGAAATTTTTCTCTTCCAAATGTTAAATTAAATCAAATAATTTAAAAATACTATGTTTAGCCCCCATCTCCAAAGTATAATTCTTACAAATCATCATTTTATTGAGTTAAAGAATTCTTGGCTCTTAGGCCAGGCATGGTGGCTCACACCTGTAGTCCTAGCACTTTGGGAGGCCAAGGTGGGTGGATCACTTGAGCTCAGGAGTTTGAGACCAGCCCAGGCAACATGCTGAGACCCTATTGCTACTAAAAATACAAAAATTAGCTAGGAATGGTAGCTCATGCCTGTGGTCCCAGCTATTTGGGAGGCTGAGGTGGGAGGACTGCTTGAGCCCGGGGGTCAGAGGTTGCAGTGAGCTGAGATTGTGCCACTGCCCTCCAGCCTGGGTGACAGAGAAAAACCCTGTCTCAAAAAAAAAAAAAATCCTGGCTCTCAGATTTAAAATTTGTATATATTTTGGAAAGATACAGTCCCTCTCAAGCATAAGAAGGGGTGATTGTGTCATAATACAGTCAGAGCACTTATCCTCATATGATATAAGAACTTTGTGCAGAAATAATTTATAAAATATTCTACTCATTTGGCTTCAGAGTAACTGAGTGCAAACACAACTCATTAAATAACAGTTTTGGACAAAGTGTGGTTGAAGTACTCCTTTGAGGATCAAGAGGTAGCAAAATAGAGTTCACTTTCTGATGAATTCGGTGCATTATCGTATTAATCTCAGTGAAGACTTTTTGTGAGCAGAGACCTCTGAAAGAACTAAACAAGCTACTAAGGATGAATGGATTCACCTCAGTGGGGAGCTTTCCTAACAGCTCCATATTAAATTTTCTGTGGTATAAACCAAGCCCTCTTTTATTTAACCTAGTGCTAAATGGAAGACCGAAGTTTGTCTTTTGGGTCTTCTGTTTCTTTTCAAATGTTTATTGGGAAACACCTTAGATGTCCATTTCACAAAGCAGATGGCAAACAAACTAAGCAGTTTTTTATTTGGAATTCGGTATGTAATATTTTTAAATGGTCACAGGGTCTTCAGGGTGCTTTTATTTATATATTATCCAGATCTTTTTCTTTAATCCTGTTATTTTTCTCCTACAGACAATGAAATTGAAGGTTCTTGGTGAATATTCATAGCTAAAATTACCCAGTGAAGTGCGATTTGAGAGGAAATGCATAATGCTAGCCAACAGGCTGGTGTTTTAGACTACTATAATGGAGCTTAGAAGAGTCCAGGCCAAAAGATTGTCTGCATTTCTCGCCAGTAGGTCTGGGTAAAAAGTAGAAACAGCATCTTTTGATCATCTTTCATCTGTCAAGCCTCCTGTCTTTGGTCTCATTCCAATCCCTAAGTGGTTTGTCAACATGGCTAGTTTAAAAGGTATCCTGTTACACTCAAAATGTCATAATCACAGATTTGTTCCCAACACCTAGACCCTTGGAATTGAACTAGGGAGCAGAATTGGGAAGCTTGTTGGTAAATAAATTACAATGGGAAATTAGTGAATGTCTTTGGGATCCAAAAGAGGACTTCTTTTTTTTTTTAATGAAGATCTCTTCATTTTAATGTCTTCTCCATTAATCTTAACATTCTTTCCTTTAATTTAATCTATCACTTAACATGTTTGGAGATGAAAGTAAAATTTTGTTGCACAATGCAGCATGTTGCTCTGATAAGAGATTGAGGAGAGATGAGAATAGAAAAGCATGGGAGGGAGTTAATGGGAAAATAATTGCAAAACATTTGTTGAGAAATGTTAACACTTAAGTCCATCTCGGATCACTTGCAGTGGAAAAAAAAGAGTGTCTGTATAAATAGTTAGCAATGTGTTTATTCTTGGAAAGTCCCAGGCCTGTAATGCAGTGATAAACAATGTGAGTTTTTGAGTTGGATATTAAATGTGTTGAGAGCTGCCTGTATAGAGAATGGATGTCAAAAGTCCATTATAGCACATTCCACTTGAATTGCAGACAGCTCAATGGTTATAGTGTGTCACTTTGCCGGATTCTAAATGTATTTCCATATATGAATTAGAAATTTCTGTGAATGATTTTATCAGTTGTTTCTTTTGAAACAATCTCTAAAATTAGTTCTTTACAATCAATTCAGCCCTTTTGAAGGATCTATCTACCCCACCATCTCTACCCTTATTATTCATTCTTAACTCACTAGAAAATATTTATTTAGCACCTACTTTGTGCTGGCACCAACCTATGCTCAGCTGCTTTCTTGCATAAACTTCTGCCCTCAAGGAGTTTACATTCTATTATTGAGACACACAATATTCAAATGAATAGAGATCTATAATGAAAGATAGTGAAAGTGCTTTGAAAAAATAAATAAAGCAGGGCAGGTAATAAAGAATGTTGAAGTGCCATTTTATAAAAATATATTTGGGAAAAGGTCATACTGGATCCAGGGTATTCATGCGGAATGACTGAAGGGAGGGAGGAAGCTGTGGAAGTCTCTAGACGTTTCAGGTAGAAGAAGCAATAAGTGCAAGACCTTGATGTAGGTAGGAAGGATTTGCACATGTTTGAGGCACAGCAGGAGGGCCAGTGTGGCTGGAGACAGTGAGGGAGAAAGAAACAGATGGGATCAGAGAAGCAGCTAACCAAGCCATGGAAAGCCTTCTGGGTCCCAGCGATAAGAAGGGTTTTGAGCAGGTGCATAACATGATCTGACTGCTGAGTAGTAAACAGATTATAAAAGCACATGAGTGGATTCAGGGACATTAGATAGTGCCATTTTCCAGGGTAGAAATGATGGTGGCACTGACCAAAGAAGTATCAGTGAAAATGCTAAGATTGTCAGATTGAGTAATATTTTCCAGGTAAAGCCAATTGTATTTGTGTCTAAAGTGCACACAGAATTTAATAAAAAGAGAAGGGTCCGCAATGACTCCAACGTTTTCGGCCTAAACAAGTGAAAGAGTGGTGGTGAAATGAGAAAGACTAAAGTAAGAGCAGGTTTATGGGGGCTGGAAATCAAGAGTGCAATTTTGAATTCATTGAGTTTGAGATGCCTATTAGACATCCAAGGGGAAATGTTCCTATATAAAAAGCTTAAGTAGGTAGATAGATATTAAAAGCCTGAGTTCAAGGAAGAGTTTGAGACCCAAGATAGAAATTTAGGAGTTAAGCCTTAAATTGTTATCTACATTCTTTTTGATTTCCCCCACATACTATGTGGAATTTAGGGCAACGTGAATTATTACAATATAAGAAGGCAGATGAAAAATGATCTCAAGTTTTTTGAATTACTGTCCAGCATTTTAGTAAACACATTATTTCCCACCTCAAGAACATAGTTTAGTTTTCAGCAAAAGTTGCACACTTTTTTTGAATTTTTTTTTTTTTTTGGTCTTCGTTTTTGTATTTCTTGTTTCCAAAGTCAAAGAAGAAATTAGAAAAGAAAATATAAAATCTTAAAGACTGCTCTGAATGAAAGTCATTGAAAATCTTAAGGATTGTTTTTCAGGAACTAACGAGATCCTATGCTAATAAGTATTACTTACTAATACAGCAATAAGTAGACTAGGAACTCACAAAGAAGGATAAAAGAGCTCTTGAGGTTTAAAACATCTATGTTATTCTCACAATAAAAACAGCTCTGTTTGTAATCTCACCAAGCCTTATAGAGAAAGTGACTAGCAAGGCCCCTTAATAAAGTTCTCAAATAAGGCAATGTTTTCAATTAATTTTTTTTTTTTTTTAGATTTCATCTTCTATTTATTCAACAAACTTTTATTGAACATTTACTACATACCAAGAAATTTGCATCACCCAAAGGTGATTTAGACAGATTTGTGACTTTTTTTATTTTTTATTTTTTCCCCTTTATTTATTTTATTGCATTTTAGGTTTTGGGGTACATGTGAAGAACATGAAAGATTGTTGCATAGGTACACACGTGGCAGTGTGATTTGCTGCCTTCCTCCCCATCACCTACATCTGGCAT